TTTTTGTGTTCTTTTTAGTCATACCTACTAACTTCTACTACTCTATGTAAAAATAACGAAATAAAATACATCACGTGTTTTTGTATTATTATTCGCTTATAGCAAACTCCGGATATAACAAACCAGTTTTAGTTCATTTTTCAAGTTCTTTATATCCGGACTCAACTATATTTCTAAATATTTATTGATAAAACAAAAATTAATAGTATTTTATGAACAATTGTCAAAAAAATCAAGCAAATTATTTATTTTGTCAGGATTATAAGATAAATAATCACCCCTTGCGTGCCTTGTTGTATAAAGATGGGTCCATATTCTCAAAAAGCCTACAGAAACGCAACGAATAATAAAGTAAAGGGATGATATATATTTTTTTAGGTGAAATGCAGTCTGTCGAATACACATGTGACACACAACTTTTGTAGGTTTTATTAAAATTTGGTAAGCGTCAAAAGAATAATATGCGTCCGTTTAAACGGACGCTATGCATTAATGGGTTAATAAACATGATTGGTCAGCATTTTGTCCATATTTCAAAATTCCAGAGTTATACAGTGTTTGGACATGATTAAACAATCAGGCCCAACTTTTACTTAGAGGAACATTTTTTTTTAATATTGGGAAGATTTGTGTCCTCTTTGTCCACACAATTGGGAAATGTATGGGTGAATTGAAATAATTTGCCAAAAAATAAAATCAATAATTTCAATATTTCGAAACAATTTGATGAAATACATTTAATGACATCAAATTTCCGTCTCGCTCGGTGGAAGTGATAGAAAAAAAACGACAATTATTGCGTCACTGTCATAAAGATTGGGACAGGCCATAAATTCAATTCAATATGCCCAAATCGATGCAAGAACATTTTTTCTAGCAACATTAGACGAGACTGAACTTAAATGACCATTTTAATTAAATACTCTAGCGATTTAAATCACTTTGAAGCCCAATAATGCATTCTATTAATGTGACATTATAAAGGATGCCATTATTAAAAGATTGTATAATAGTTCTTTCTAATTTTGTTTAAAAAATGTTTGACTTGACAAAAAGCCATTTTAAATGATTGGTTAAGCCTGATTAAAGCCAACAATATTGTCCCAAAATAACACTCAACATATTGAACAACTAGCTGATAACAGTGATTAACATTAACTTTTACTGGGGTTATCAAACGTGCAGTAAGACGTTTATTATTGGAATGAAGCACCTATTGCAGCCTTAACTCATTTTATTTGTCGTGATAGTGACAAAAGTTGATTTTCGCCGGTAACGAGCTAAATATGAACAGCACAGTCAACCATGTTATTAGCATTGAACTGTATGAAATCGAGTATCAAAGGCCAGAAAAACATTTAACAACAACCGAGAACAACTATTGAACTTTGTTCTGACCGAACTTTTAGGTTAGGAATTGAAATTTCAATAAAAAAGGAAATATAAAAAACCCAAACAAGCGAAATTAGAAAAAAAAACGCTTTGAATAATATGCATCTAGTCAAAGTGAATTTCAAGGTCCTGTTAATCTATTTTAAAACGAATTGTGTTCACATTATGTAAGGTGATTCAATGACTTCAGGACTTACCCAATATTTTAAATATCCTACTGGGAACAGCCATTGCAATACAATTAACACAAAAAACTGCCTCAAAAACAACCGAATTTCAATTCATAAACAGCACACTTATAGATAGTTTTCGATATTTCGTTCTACCAACACCAATCTAATCGTTCGAAAGATTCACAGGCATGAACAACGATCGAAGTGTTTTAGTACGTTAACGTTATGCGGATAGCGGCACGATATAGTTCACATGATTGTGACATCATTCCCATTCATCATTTTGTCATCATTTTTTTCATGACAATAATTGCAGAGGGCGCCATCACGTTTAAGTGATCGTTACATTCTTAAGTATACATTCGCCATTCACGTGAGAGCTGCAGATAAAAAATGGGTCTAAAAAAGACAGATATAATTTTATTGGTTAATTTAAGTCTTATTTTAAAATAATAGTCGGCATAAGTGACAATATAATTCCTGCCTTCTTTAGGTCTGAGAAAATAAGGATTTATTTTCGAGGGTTCTCAAATTTATGTCCACTTTTACATCTTGCCTTTCCTTTCTATAGTAAAAATAATATATTAAAATACAAAAATAATGAATATTACAATTATTGTTACAGTTAGTATCAATGAGATACTTCCATGAGTAATACTCAATTCCTTCTAATTAAATTCTATGCATTTATCCATGAACTAATTATGAAACATTAAACATTTAATAATTAATTATATAATAATCTAATATGCATCTTCCAAGTCAAAGCGCCTTCAAAAATAATTTCGGTCAAAATCAAACAAAACCAAATTTCAAACCTAAAGTTCAAAACAATTTCTTAAAAAAATATTTTCAAAATCCAAACATTCAATGGTCTTTCAAATCAATTTAGACCAGAAAATCAACAATTTCACCAAAGCATTAATCAGTATAAGCAACAATATCCTAGCGACTGCGCCAATTTTAGCGTTTCTTTTTAATTTTCTATAATTAATTTAGTTTTGCTTCARAAARTTTGTACTATAAATTKTGTTGAAGATCTTTGTATSAMWTYAKAAGTGGYATAMATTTTAGCTTMAMWTATTCGTGMCAAACWAATAKKMRTGAA